CATTAAATATTCTTTCCCATATGATTCTTCTTAATTCAATTATCTCTATACCTTTAAGTATATATAAGATTAAAGTTTCATAGTTTTTTATCATTTCATCATGAATATATGTAGTCATGTTCGTTGTTATGCAGATTTTTTATTTTCAATTATTCCTTCCTATCATATTTTTAATTGATTAAATTCATATTAGATCATTATGAACTAGATTATTTATTTATCATGTTCTCCTGTCACTACTAGCATCGTAGTTTAGCGGATACTTCCTTCTTATCAGCGCCTCAACTTTGTTTACTCCCCTGAACGACTTTCCTCGCCTACCGGTTTCAACATTAGGATGACATAGTATAGAAGTGTTCTCCCTGTTTCCAGTGTGCTAATAAACTAGAAATCATGATTCAAATAACTCTAATACATAATAACTAAATAAATTTATTCAATCATATATATGATATTCAGGAATATATGAGGAAGTAAAATATTTACAGTATGTTTTAACACCAAAACATAAAATAACAACAAAAAATAAAATAAAAAAACTAAAAATAGCAAATCCTTTTGAAAGGATAGTTACAGTCATAGATAATAATGATTATAATTATAATGAGATTGATATAGAAGAATATTTAGAAATAGTAAAAGAAAGACTAAGTACATCAAAAAGAATAAACCATGAAATACTCCAAATATCATCAAAAATGAGTACCTCAAGAAGAATAGATGAAACTCCACAAAAATCAATAGAAGAAGAAATAGAACCATATCATTACTACATAACGGGAGTAATGGAACAACGGAAATATCTAATATTAATAAATACAGGACAAGAAGAAAACTATATTATAAGAGAACTAGTAACAGAAGATGAAATAATTACTACTGAACAATCATGCCCTACACTACCAAAGGCATTGATATATACTGAAGAAACTACGGAAAAAGGAAATAATCATTGGAGGAGTACCAATAATAATATTGTTAAAAGTATATCAAGGAGATAAAAATATCACTTTAGGAATAAAATGGTTAGAACAAGTAAAACCATATAATTTAGAAGCCAAACAGTTAACAATAAATTATAATAATAAGAAGATAATAATAAATAGAACTTTCTTATGATAAAAACATGAAAATATATATACTTGCAAAGATAATAATATAAGGATATTACAACAGATATTATACACCAATGATAGACACATGAGCATAAGCTAATATATGTAAATACAATTGCTTACCAGAAGATAAATGGGAAAAATTAAAAACACCGATAGTAGAAACAAAATTTAATAATGAAGGAAGCATGATTACATATAAGGCAAAAAATATAAAAATACAAGTATGGGATAAGATATTAACTATAAAAGAAATATATAACTTTGAATTGACCACAAAAGATATGCTATTAAGAATGCCCTTTTTAGAAAAGTTATACCCATATATAATAATAAAAACACACTGGTGGTTCACAACACCATGTAAACAAAAAACAGGAACAAAAAAGAGTAAATAACAAAAAACGAAAAACAAAGTAAAAAGAATCCAAGATAAGTTAGAATTGTTATATAGTGAAGATCCTTTACAAGGATGGGAAAAAACATAAAACAAAAGTAAAAATTGAGCTAATTGATAATAATAGCATAATAACCCAAAAACCATTAAAATATAATTTTAATGATTTAACAGAATTTAAGATACATATAAGCGAATTACTAGAAAAAAGGTATATACAAGAAAGCAATAGCAAGCATACAAGCCCAACATTTATAGTAAATAAACATAGTGAACAAAAAAGAGAAAAAAGTAGAATGGTTATTGATTATAGAAATTTAAATGCAAAAACTAAAACATATAATTACCCAATACCTAATAAAATATTAAAGATAAGACAAATACAAGGATATAATTACTTTAGTAAATTTCACTGCAAATCAGGATTTTACCACTTAAAGTTAGAAGAAGAATCTAAAAAACTTACAACATTTACAGTACCACAAGGATTTTATGAATGAAATGTATTACCATTTGGATATAAAAATGTCCAGGTAGATATCAACACTTTATGGATAACTACTTTAAACAACTAGAAAATTGTGTAGTATATATTGATGATATATTACTATATTCTAACACCCAAGATGAACACATAAGATTATTAGAAAAATTCATACATATTATAGAATATTTAGGCATAAGTCTAAGCAAAAAGAAAGCAGACATAACGATAAACCAAATAGAATTTTTAGGAATACAAATAGGTAAAAATGGAATAAAAATGCAAACAAATATAGTACAAAAAATAATTAACTCAAATGAACAATTAGATACAAAAAAAAGAAATTACAATCATATCTAGGACTAGGAAATCAAGTAAGAAAATACATACCAAAATTAGTAGGGAATTTAAAACTATTAGAACAGAAGTTAAAGAAAGATGTAGAATACCAGTTTGATAAAAAAGACCAAACACAAATACAAAAAATAAAATCATTATGTAAGAACGTATCTAAACTATATTTTCCGGTTGAAAATAAAAAAATTTACTTATATAGTAGAATCAGACGCCAGTGAAAAAAGTTATGGAGGAATCTTAAAATACAGGTATGATGAAGAAAAAATAGAACATCATTGCAAATATTATTCACGAACATTTACTAATACGGAGATAAAATGGGAAATAAATAGGAAAGAATTATATTCAGTATATAAATGTTTATTATCATTTGAACCATATATTGTATATAACAAATTTATTATAAGAAAGGATAACACACAAGTAAAATGGTGGCTAAAAAGAAAAATACAAGATTCGGTAACTACAAAAGAAATAAGAAAATTGGTATTAAATATATTAAATTTTACATTTACTATTGAAGTAATAAAAACTGACAAGAATGTTATTGCAGATTACTTACCAAAACAAAGCTACTCAGACTGAGAAAGAAAATACAATTGAATATATACTCAAAGCCATTACTACACTTTGTATAAAAGTGGATAGTATGGACAATGAGATACAAAAGCTAAAGACTAATAAAGATAATCTGAAGTCTAAAGCTAATACGGGTCAGCAGCATGACTGTAAAAATGCGGAGCTAAAAGGTGACGTTTGGAAACACCTTAAAACCCATAATATTTGTTTAAATACAGCTACAGGTACAAGTAAACAAGTTAGTGAAAAACAACATAAAAATACAAACTTAAACCAGCTATTTGAAAAACTATTTACTCCAAAAATACCAAAAAACACATTGACTATGGAACCACAAACCTCTACCTATGCAGATAGCCTACAAAATGAGAAAACATTATATAGCCATGTCACGAGAACATATATTGAGAATATATACAAAATTCAAACCTATTTAAACCGTAATCCTAGATCCACTACAACCAAAGAACCATGTCAAGACTACCTAACCCAAAAATTACAAGGTTATAACAAGCTAATTACACAGCCAAAAACTAACGCCAATTTAGTAAGGACATGTTACAATTATAGACTATTAAATACCGTATACACATGCGATGGAGAAGAAATAAGTTTACCGAAACTACACAAGACATTCATTACAGATAAAAGAGTTACCAAGGGAAATTTATTTTATGTAAAGTTTTATACAGCACCAGCGAAGATATTATATGAAGAGATAAAACCCCCAATTCAAGTTATTAAAATAGGACTAATCAAAGATATGATTATACCTGAAGATATTGGACAACAGGAAGAAATACGGAAAATAGAGATACCAAGTTTTTATGTCAATAAAAGAATAATTGGTTTATCAACTATTATAGAATAGTTGGCAAACAATTATTTAAACGGAAATGCTATATGGAGTTACTACTCTAGAGACCAGTTAATGATATATTCTAATTCAAGAGAACTAAGGAAAGCATATATGGATGAAGTCCAGCGATGGATTTTATCATTATTAAAACCAGAAGAAAGACCTACGACAAGAGCACTCAAGACATGATTTATTTCGTCAGAACTATTAACCAGATATTGTAAGCTAATTGGACATAAATATCCTGACCATATATGTTCAAAATGTAATGGAGAAGATAATGTGATTCCCGATGTCCAGCTGGAATGATCAAATAAGATATAGACGAAAGAAGATAAGAAGAAGAAGGCAAGAAGATGACAAAAATAAAAAGACACATGTGCAAAGAAAGTCGTAGATAAAGAGATAAGGAAAATAATACATATGGCCAAAAGAAAATAATATAAAAAAGTACCATGTAAATATTATTAGTCTTATTGTAAGAAAGTGTAGTGTAAATTAGTCAACAAGTAGGGTAGTATGCATGTGTATATTAAAAGTGGTAGGTATGGTGTGCATTAATAAGGATAACAAGTGTATGAATGGTAGGTGGTGTGCATTATTAATAGAACAAGTGTATGAATGGTAGGTAGGAGTAAGTGTGCATTATTGTAAAGTAAGTGTGCAGTATAGTACGTGTATTATTGTTCACTGCTGTTTCCTTTCTATATAAAGGAATGTATATGTAAATGCATCAAAACTTCACATTTCTCATTACATTGGAGGAATTATCTTCTCCAACCCATATCATGCTCATAACAATATCATTAAGCATATTATGCAACTTCTTCATAAAAGCATATTTAGGCATGCTCAACATTCAACCTCATGAAGCATAAAGAAAACTCATACTAAATGCATATCAACATGAGGAATATAAATCATGAAAACTCAATTTCTCATTTAAACATAAACTCATTAAGAAAATGCATAACATAAGGAGACCATGGAAAGACATAATCACACATGACTCTAAAACATGAAACAAGCTACAAGGAACTCTTGGCCTCAAGCTTGAATAGGAATAGAAGGAAAGAGATAAGGATATCACAACTCTCAACAACCTTACTATTCAACATACTATGCCCCACCTAGGAGAAAACCCAACTAAGGTTAACATGAAAAACAACATAGGAATCTCAACAAGACATTCATAACCATAAGGAACTATCACTTACCGGTACGTTCATCCGGATTAACTCCTTTGTCCTTGTTAGATTGTAGAGCATAGAAACGGTTCCTCTTTGGAGCATCAAGATCCGGGTCATTAAGAGAAGTTTGTTTGGCCTCCCTTCCTCTAGTCGTAAAAGTAGGACAATTTCTCACTTGATGATAACTTTTTCCACACCCAGAGCACCCATTAGAACCGACTAGGCACTTCCCATGATGTTTCATTGCACAATTGTGGCAAGTAGGTTTAGGAAATGGAGACTCACTACCTCTATCTTGGTTAACCTTAGGAGTGCTTGAAGAATATTGGTTTGGAGCTCTCTTCTTGAACCTAGGTTGACCTTGCTCATTGGGCCTAGCCCTCTTTAACTTCCTATCCTTCCTCTTAAGTTTAGACTCCTCAATAGATTGAGCATACACCATAAGTCTAGAAATCTTCATGTCCTCATAGAGCATCGCCGTATGGCACTCTTTCTTTACTAGGTCAGATACACCTATCAAAACCTACTCATCTCATCTCTAGGGTTGGACACCAAAGATGGAGCATACTTAGATAATAGGGTAAATTTCAAGGAATACTCCTCCACACTCATGCTACCTTGCTTAAGGTTTATAAACTCCACCACCTTACATTACCTCTTCTCACGGGGAAAGTATCTACCAAGGAAAGCTTCCTTGAACAATTCCCGATCTATATACCTCGCTCCTACTGGCCTATTACTCTTACATTGAGTAAACCAAATTTGGGCAACATCTTTCAATTGGTAGGTGGAAAGTCCCGCTTTTTCAATAGAAGTCACTCCCATAGTAGTCACTATCTTATTCACCTCATACAAAAATCCTTAAGGGTCCTCTCCCACCTTAGAACCTAGGAAAACCACAGGATTCATCCTCACAAAGTCTCTCAACCTAGAAGCCATAGTACTCACCATAGGGTTCACAATGGCCTCAACACCCCTAGTAGCTTAAGCCGTCATGGTTTGAGCTTGGGTAGTTACGGCTTGAGCCATCATCAAAAGAGTCGACCTAATTTTCTCATTGGTCATAGATGGAGCTTCAACCGGAACTTCATTGCCTTGAGGAACTTGGTCACCTTGAGTACCTTGGGGATCTCGGGGAGGAACTCCCTCGTTAACAATTTCATCTTCAACCCTCCGTTCAGTAGTCCTTCTTGTATTCATATCCTATAAACACAAGAGAGGGATTAGGAAAAAGGATACTTATAGAGCTAAAATCTAAGGCACAACTTTAAGAATATGAAAGAAGTATAACTTCCTAACGTCCTATAGCCTCTCACTCAGAGATGTACCGCGACTCACACCGATGAACAAGACTCTACTAGACGTGGCTTGTGAGACATCAATCCTAAAAACCATTTCCAAAGTCTTATGCTTTGATACCATGTTTGTCATGACCAAAGGCTAGCCCCTAGATGCGACACGGCGTACATGACCCCGAAGGGGTCTCATACAAGCCTCATAGCATTTCATTGCATTAGGTAATAGAAAATAGTACGAAATTAAAACTTTATTTAAAACCATACAATAAAAATACTCATTTAAAACTCTTGAAAAAGACACAACGAACGTCTATTGTCTCAACATGGCCATCTAAAAACAACATCTGAAACATAGGTAGGGACATGGCCCTTTACAATCGAAAAGTCTAACAATAGTCTTTTACATGAAAGAAAATGAAACTTCTAAACACTTGTCCTCGATCTATGAGGGCATACCACTTAGTCTTGGAGAATCTCAAATCCAAGTCCTTGAACTAAGGAGTAAGCAACTCACATACTGGAACCTACAGTTGTAGTAAAACATGAAGAAGAATTGGTTAGCACAATTAAGTACTAAGTATGATAGCCATGCAAAAACGTGGTTAAAACGAACATTTTATTTGAAAGTCATGCTTTTATTCCATTTTTATAAAACTTCATGAACATAATTATAAGAAGCATAATATTCAAACATAACCAACATACAAGTCATTTCATCACAATAGAGACAAAATCAACATATAAGCCATTATCTTCACATTAAACCTCTACCTCAAGTAACACTCAATCTATACCTTGTGCAATGTATGTAGAGCGTCCCATAACCCCATCCACACTAAAGTACCACCTTAAGGTCACCAAAAGTGAACTTACCATTCAACCATTCCATCTTTACACAATACTTCATACATAAGAGACATAAACATTTCATAAGTCATATCATCACATAAGGACCATCACCAAATACAACTCTAAAGTCATACTTGTGCAATGTGCAAGTAGCATCCCATACTACTACTCACACTAAGTACTCTTTTGAAGTCACCATAGGCAAGGCACATTCATATTCATTAATCCATAACAAGGAAGTAACTCATAATACAATCCATGTACAACATGCATCATTTACATCATCTCATTTAAGCATATAAGAGTCAACATTCTTCAATAACTTCATTTAGAGGACTTTCATACATTAGCCATTGTGATTTAGAGAACTCACTATGACCCTCTCAAAGCCTACTCGTGCAATGCATGGATGGAATCCCATACTACCACCCACACTTCATTGAACTCAACAAGAAACCATAATGCACATCTCACATGATGGGAATAAGCATTTAACTGACATAGACCATGTTAGCTTGAAATGGAATCTGGTGTCATAAAACCCCAAACCGTAAAAATGTGGCCTACTTGCCTAATCAAAACCGATAACATTAGCTTGGATGGAATCCACTAGCTAATATCCTATGTGGGCACATAGCAATGGGATAGGAAGATGTTCATTGGAACCCTAGCCTAACATTGGGAGAGTTTCCATCTTACCATATCCACTCGGTGCTTAGCGTACATTCCCATAGACTATTTCAATCACATTACATTATTGTACTTGAGATGGCCACCAATATTAGGCCTACCGACCCAAAACACATACACATGAAAGTCCACCATCATTATGTCTACCGATTCAAGGTACATTTAAGGATAGCTCATTGACTTTCCTAGTAAGAGCCACCACCATTTGGTCTACCGTTTCTAGGTTTATCATTTCACACAAGAAAGGGCCACCACTATTAGGTTTACTGTTTCAAGGTTTTACATCACATTAGTTCCTAGACTCCTCATGAAAGGACACCAATATTAGGTCCACCGATCCAAGGTTTAGCCTAAAATACTTCTACATTGATTCATTCATAAAAGGCTACCAACATTAGGTCTACCAATTCAATACATTAAGATATTAAGACAAGATACAATCATTATACAAGAAAGGATGCCTAAGCCTATTAATTAAAGATATCACAATCACATTACTTCCATTTATACAAGAAAATGATGCATAAGCCTACCAATTCAAGATATACAATTCATAGAAGAAACCCTTCACATTCCATCATCATCATTCATGAGTGTTAATTGAGAATATGCTTTCAATCAATAAAACAATTACATTCTAAACATGATCATCATACTATCACTAACTTCACATACATATCCTTTACATCATACTCATACCTTAACCTTCATATCTTGCCCTTCAATGCCATGGAGAACATTCACCCACATACCTTAGATCAATACAATTAGGCAAGATTAATCACATAGTTTCAACATTCTATATCCATATACACATAAAAAAGTTAGATACTTCATAATCAATCAAATCCCAATCACAAATCATAACTTAGGAATTTGGTGGAAAACATGGGTTCTAGGAAAAAATCATCTTAATTCACCTTTAAATCCACAATTAATTCATAAGTCAATGACATAATTCCTTTAGAAAATGTATAGAATCGAACCCATGGATAGATTGAAATTTAGGGTTTTTGGGTAAACATTGGAGACTTGAAATCACTTTTGAAATTGGCTCCTTCAAAGAAACTAAGTCAAGGATGAAGACCACCATACCTATAATGGAAGAAATCTACAAAAATCCCTTGAAAAACTTGAAGATTTGACCTTGAGACCTTGAAATTTTCACCTCCAATGGAGGTTTCTCGAGGGAGAACTTTTGAGAAGAGAGGTGTGTTCTATTTTGTGATTTATAAATAATGAGTTGAAAATGTATTTTAATACATTAAAATCCCTTAAAATATTTTAATAAACCAATCATAACCGTCCATGACCTAAACTAACCAAGGGAGGAATTTACCAAACTACCCTCATAATGCTGAACCAAACCAACCTTACAGGTGCGATCCACAGATCGTCCTGCATGGGGTGGTTGATGGTTGTGGCTTGAACTTAGGGGACTTTATCGATGGAGGCCATCTACGGGGCGTGGTCTCCTTCCATAGGTCACCAAGTTTTGTCAAATTTCCTCCATTTGAAGCAGCCTTGGGGTTAGGTTAAGGGTCCTCCTCAAGGACCCCTAGGGTGGTCCTTGGGGAGTCTTACTTTGATGTTTAACCCCTAAATCACTCAACCATGGCTCGGGACAACATTATACCACCTCAAACCTCACACCAACTCAAACACATACAAGTTAGGCTCTAGTTTCTCTTATTCATTTGACGGGTCGTTACAGAAGATGAGCTTGAAGATGAATCTGAAGAAGTGTTTGAAGATGACGCACCATGAGTTTTCTTATTTTTGAGATAAACATATAGTGCTCACTTATTGTTTTTGTTATTTAATTAATTTTTTGGTACAAACTCATTAAGATATCTAATATGTGGAATTGAAGATTAGATCGCTACAATGTTTATGTATTATGTTGGCTTTTTTCATGCGCCCGATTGTTGAATGACCTGTAATTCTAGCCTACTATTGTTTATTTGACTATTTATTGACACAAACTTATCTGACTAAAGGTTAGTAATCTCTGAAGTATTCCTAATACAATTATTAAACTGCTTTATGATCTGTATATATGAATTGTGATTATTATGTAAATACATATTTTTTCCTATTATTATAAGGTAGTGGACTTTAGAGGCAGCATAGTGAACTCAACAATGCACTCTTTGTGAAGTTAGTCCTCTATAGGTAGTACTTCCTTCACTTTCTAGAAGCCAATCGTTAGTCCACTACACGTTCTCAATTATACCACACAATGACTATTGGCTTGTAAAGGTTTGTACCATTCTTCTCTGCTCCTTCGTGTTTTTCAATTGCCAACTGAAGTTTCCATTTTCTTTGAAAGTGTACTACCCGATTTGAATGTATGAATTCAGGAAGATACCGAACCCAATACTCCAACTATGAGGATCTTTGTAAGTACTCTCCTTTCCTCCTACCTTGTGGTGGTGTTTGATTTCTAATTCCCTAGGTTTCCTTAGTTGAAGACGAAAAGGAGGTGACCTGCTCCCGCATTTCATTCTCATGGTCTCTTAGATTGACGCTCGTTAATATTGCAAATTCGGCTTCATTGGTTTTATGTTTTGCTGGTGCTTGTATCCCTTTTTGTTGATTCTTATAACGTAGATTAGCTTGTTCATACTTTGCTCCC